TGAACTTTAAACAGAATTTTGAGGCAAGATGCGAGAAGGCAGACAGTTGGTTGCAAAAAGCATTTCAGTCCTGGTAAGAGACTTAAAGCAGCGCGGATCTCCATGGTGTTGGAACACTGAGAATGTGACAGATTGGACTGAGTTCTGATGATCTGCAGGTTGAATTTCATCCAGAGGGTGAACGGACATCAGAGGCTCAGTAAATAAATTTCAAATCCCCAACGAGCAAGGGGAAACTTTAATAAAAAAAATGGTGCAGCTTACAGGTTGGAAAGGTGAGAAGTAAGCAAAGTACTTACAGCTCAGATCAAGCATTGTTGCCAAAGAGCACTGGCACCATAATGTTCCAGTATGGGAAACCAAGGATCACGGAAGCAATTTAGAATGGGGTTGCACACCAAGGATCATCTCAAAGTCAGAATTAAAGCGATAAAAGGGGAAAATGAGGAAGATAGGAGACTACTGAGGTTGAAGAGAGGGTGACAAATCCATTCCTATAACCATGGTATAGGTGCAAAAAACTTACTGCAATTGCAGACTGAATCATCCAAGAAGCAATGGTGATTCTTATTCAGTCAGGAGGAATTGTCAAGAACAGGCATGGCTCACAGGACACGCTGAGACCTCCAATTAGCCCTGTGAGCTGGGTCACTGGAGAGGTTGGTGAGAGCACCCATTCGGAGAACACAGAGATGCTCCAAAGGCTGTCTAACTCTATGAAGAAATCATACAGACTGAGGGGGTGTCTTATAGAGGTTTAGAAAATAATGAGGTGTATGGATAAGGAAAATTAGCCAAGGTCTTTTTCCCAGGGTAGGGGGAGTGCAAAACTAGAGGGCATAGGTTTAAGGTGAGGGGGGAAAGAGTACCCTGTTCACCCTTATGGCCCCGTCACTGCACCCCGCGCTCCGCACGGCCCCCGTCACTGTGCCTCGCACCCCACGCGGCCCCGTCACTGCGCCCCGCCACAGCACCCTGTAAAAACAGCATCATTACTGCACTCTATAGCCTACACATGCTGTTAACCATGCTAAGCTATCGAAGGTCGCATCAAAGTACTCTGTATCCCACAGGTCCTCACAACTGTGCCCTGTAATATGTTCAGCCCTATTACTGCACTCTGTACTTCACACAATCCTACTCCAGGGTCCAAAACCAAAGACAGCCCAGTTACTGTACCTTATGCCCCTCACAGCATCGGTGAAGTGCCTTGTGCCCTCTCAACAAAATACAGCTTCATGTGCCACTCGCAACAATATCACCAGCAAATGTGTGAATGTGGTAGTGTAGTGGTAATGTCTCCAGACTAGTTATCCAGGAGTCCAAGGTAATATTCTGGGGACATAAGCAAAACATTGTGGATGCGGGATATCTAAAACAAATACAGAGATTGCTGGAGAAACCCAGCTGGCCTGGCAGCATTTGTGGAAAGAGTTAACATTTTGAGTCTGATATGAGTCTCCTTCAGAATACATTGTTCTGAGGACATGGGTTCAAATATTACTAGGGCTGATGGTGAAATGTGAGACAAACCTTCCAGAGCTGAGGCAGTCAGACTTTCAGGACTGATCCCTACTTGGGCAGTGGATAAAGAGAGGGCAAGTCTTCAGACCTTTACTCCTTTTCTCCCCAGCCCTGCCAGTTTACGCGGGACACCTAGAGAGAATTATTGAAAACAATTGTTTCCCCTCTCCCTCATCAAAGTCTCGCCCCAGATTTGAAAAAGCTGACTGTAGTGATTGTAACAAGGTCAGGCATAGAATATGAGTTGCTTGACTGGACCAGATTAACAGCCCGAATCAGGGAGCCCTGACTGAAAGAAAAGAACAACAGTGTCAGACATTCTGTTAAGAGGCTAATGTATTAGAAGCAGTTCAGAGAAGGTTTACGAGACTAATACCTGAAATGATCGGATTGCCTTGTGAAGAAAGGCTCAACAGGTTAGGACTGTGTCCTCTGGAGTTTGGAAGAGTCAGAGGTGATTAAATTGAAATAAATAAGATCCTGAAGGGATTTGACCAGGTGAATGTAAAAGGGCTACAAAAACAAACAAAGTTGCTGGAAAAGCTCAGCAGGTCTGGCAGCATCTGTGAGGGGAAAAAACAGAGTTAATGTTTCGAGTCCGGTGACCCTTCCTCAGAACTTTTTCCTTCACAGATGCTGCCAGACGTGCTGAGCTTTTCCAGCAACTTTGTTTTTGTTCCTGATTTACAGCATCTGCAGTTCTTTCAGTTTTTATTATGAATGTAAAAGGGCTGTTACCTGTTGTGGGAGAATCAAGAACTAGGGGTTACAGTTTAAAAAGAGTCTGCCTACTTAAGATAAAGTTGTTACAAAAACATTTCTCGGAGGGTGAATGTCTTTGGAATTTTGTACCCCACATGGTCCAATTGCTATACCCTACACACTGCCTTACCGTACCTGGAACCTCGAGAGCACAATCGCCATCCCCTGTGCTCCAATTACTGCACTCTGCATCAGACGGCATCATTACTGCAATCTAGATCACTCACTTGCCCAATACGATGCCACAAGACCCTATTACAGAGCACTGTTCCCTACACAGCCCATTAAGACACCCTGTACCCCACACTGCTCTGATGCAGAACCCTACCCCACACTGCTTCATTATTACACCATCGAATCCACACAACCAAATTAGTGCACAGTGTTCCCCACATAGCCTCATTGTTGCATCCTGGTCCCACAAGGCACCTTGTAACTGACACAGCCCCACAAACGTGCACTGAATCTCACACAACTGCATTGCAAAATACAGGACACCACACAACCACATGATAGAACAGGATGCTGCAAGGCTCAAGTCAGGAGTGTGATGGAATACTCCCCACTTGCCTGGATGGATGCAGCCCCAACAACACTCATGAAGCTTGACATCTTCCAGGACAAAGCAACACACTTGTTTGACACGACATTCACAAGCATCCACTCCCTCCGTCCACCAGTGAAGCTCAGTAGCAGCAGTATGCACTATCTACAAGATGCAACACACTAATTCACAAAGAATTCTTCAACAGCACCTTCCAAACTCATGACCGGTACCATATAGAAGGACAAGGGTAGCAGATACCTGGGAGCACCACCACCAGCAATTTCATTTTGTAAGAATTATGGACATTTTATTTGGAAAGCTAAACTGGGGAGAAGTTAGAGTTTGTTACAAAGAATGAATCAGTTGTGTTTTTCTTATAACTTGAAGGAAAGTGGAGCAGTGTTGTGATAGTTTGCTGGAACTGGATTTCAACTGTTTTGTGGGACACACTGCCACCAGGTATCTTTGAAATAAAAACACTAACTGCTTAGCAACAAGATTTATCGCAGACCCGAGGGTCAGTCAGATCACAGACTTTTCTCCACCTTTTTAATTGGAATAGGAACAACATTCAAAAACTTTGAAAAATCAAAGAAAACTTCTCATTCAAGACAAGACCAAACTCCAACTGACCAGTGATCAAACACAGGATCGCTAGAATCGACAACAGTATGACATCATCACCAAAACACAAACAGAAACAGTGAGAAAAGGCGCGCTAATTCAGCCCTTGTGGTGCGGACTCTGATCAACACAATGTGTTCATTTTTGCCTACATTTTCCACCCATTATATTCCCAAAAAACTTGTTGTCCTATCTGTCCTGTCTATCCTATTTTTAAATGATTGCATGCGTTTGGATTAAAGTAGGTAAAGTTTAAGGTTGCATATTAACAATTAATAATCTAGTTCTCCATGTTAAACAATGTTTGTCCTAATAAATGTTTTTGTTTGCTTATTCCTTAATGAAACCCGGTGAGACTTTCTTTTATCTTATTGGTGATCACAATCAGGTATTATCCATCCTAAGGATTAAACTGATCAGATATCACATTGTGACAATTCATAGTAATAGTGGGGCTCATGTTCCAGCACTATTCCCACCAGGGCTCTATCCCCATCAGGGACCCTTTCCTGAATGTCCAACATTGGCAGTTGGGAAATCAAATGTAATGACTCTGGCTGGAAACTTCAACGCTAGCCATGACTGAAACATCCAGTGCTGACACTGGTATCTGGCAATGATCCTGTCTGAAATTCTGACAATGGAGCCCAGATGAAACACCAGCACTGAACCTCGTCAAGACCTCTGGGACCTAGCTGCAGCGTGACCGTGACTGAAACCCAAATAGTGACTCTGGCAACACCAGCCATCGCCCCGGACATTGACTGTGACCCCACCGTCACCCCGGCAACACTGACCATGACACTGGCAGACACCTCCAACATTGACTATGAACCCGGCCGTTATCCCGGCGACACTGACCGTGACCCCGGCAACAATGACCGTGAGACCGGCCATCACCCTGGCGACACCGAGCGTGACCCCGGCCATCATCCCGTTGACACCAATCGTCGCCCCGGACACTGACCGTGACCACTGTTATCACCCCGGCGACATTGACCATGACTCCAGCCATGACCCCAGTGACACCGACCATGACCTCGAACATTGCCCCGAATGCTGGCCGTGACCCCGGCCATCACCCTGGCAACAGTGGCCGTGACCCCAGACGCTGACCTTGGCCAGATCCTTTGCCACTGACCCTAGGGTCAAACTTCCACATTGGCTGAAGCTCTGGCACTGCCCGTTTGATGAATCACAGACAGTAACCGTTGGTATTGCCCGTGTCTTGAATCTCCAGCACTGACTCCTAATCACAAGCTGTATAAATACATAGCACTCAGACTGCGGGATGGAATGGTGACCCTGAATGTTAGTGCTGACCGTGACCACTGTCCCCGGGCCCAGTCCCTGACCGGCCTGTTCCCCAAACCCGCGGCCTCTAGCCCCAGTCTCTCCCCCTGCCCCGGGCTGTGGGGCGGCCCCTCCTGGTCAATGTACAGCCTCTGGCCGGAGTCTGTGAGTCTAACAAACGGAAGGGAAGCGCCAGGCAGTGACCAGGTCCGGAATGTTCCCCGTTCCCCCAGCGCTGGGCCCGCGGTACCTCTCTCACTCTCCGCCGCCCGCTCCCGTTCCCGCTCCGGAAACACACTGAGCGCGAGACCCCGACCTCCCCCCGTCACCGGCTGAAGCCCGCCCCCCCCGAACCCGCCCCCACAACGCAGGACCCGCCCCCACAACGCAGGACCCGCCCCCAGACCCGCCCCGTGGTCCAGAAACTGCTCTCCTCCCCCCGCCCCAAAACCCGAGGGCCCGCTCCCGGACCCGCCCCCACGGTCCATGAACCCGCCCCCTCGGTCCAGGATCCGCCCCTATGTCCCATGACCCTCCCTTAGCCGGCCCCCATGGTGGAGGACACGCCCCTGTGGTCTCCAGGACCCGCCTCCATGGCCCAAGACACGCCCCTGTGGTCCAGGGCTCGCCCACATGGTTAGGGCCCGCCCCCATGGTCAAGGACCCACCCCCATGGCCCGGGACCCGCCCCCATGGTCCAGGACCCGCCCCCGGATATACCCACACCGGGCTAGATCATCCCCTCCATTCCTCTCCATCCCTTCCTCACCATCCCATTTCCCCTCATTCTCTAAAGCTCCCTCACACTCCATCATTCTGTCCTCCCCCATCATTTCCACCTCCCCCCATTTTCTCCCTCCCCTTTCATTTTGACCTTGACCCCTCACCCTTATTTGTGCTGCTTTTCTGCACTTCCCAGCTCCTCCTCCCCCGTTTTGCACTGTCCCCCTTCTCTCTCTGCACCCCCTCCCAGTCCCGCCTGCCCCCAGTCCCCATTCAGTAATCAGGCAGGTTTCTGAGCAGTGAATAACTGAGGAGGGAGTCTGAGGGGTGCTGGTGAGGGCACTGTGGTCTGAGGAGTGCTGGTTTGGGGTATGATCTGAGATGGGCTGAGCATTGGGGTGATGGTGGTAGGATTGGAATGCATGGTGTTCTGACCGGGGGGTCTGCAAGAGAGGGCAGTGGTTTGGAGGAGGGGTTTATTATGAGGGTCTCGATTTTGATGAGGGAGGGTCTGTTTAGTGAAGGGGTGCCCTCTGGTGGGTCAAGCTGTACCCAATAACCAAAGAGACTCCCAGAAACCCATTGCACACACAGAGGCCATTTGGCCCATTATTATTGGCCTGGCTCTTTGGCAGTGCGAACCAATAATTGTTACATTTCTGCTCTATCCTCACGGGCCACTCCAACCGTCTCCTCTTTAATGTAACGAGCCAATTCTTTACCGAAAGCTATGATTGAAACTGCTTCTGCTATCGTTTCTGCTGCATGTTCCAGATCACCAGGGCACGTTGTGCAATTCCTCCTCATCGCACCCGATTTCTTTTGGCCAATTTCTTTCAATCTGCGAATTTTGTTTACCCACCCTTGTGGCAGTGGAGACCGTTTCTCCGTATTTACCCGATCAGACGCCGTGCAATTTTTGATTCTGTCTCCACTTGGCTCTGTCCTCTCTGCCTGAGGTCACAGAATCCAAAAAGCAGAAAAAGCTCACAAAAGGGCCAAGGCTAACTCTCAACATGGGCTTAAGAGAGCAGGGAAAGGTAGAGAGAACCCGAGGGGTCTGCTCGTGATTGACCAGGTAAATGATACCCGATGATCACTGATCTTGTGATAGGAACGCGTTTTTAACAAAAGTGCAATGAAGAATAAATCCTAGAAACTTTTTCGAGTTCGGACATTAGCAGTGGGAGTACCCCTTTAAGAGATTCCAATCGTGTGCTCTTGCATTAACCCGGAGAACATTCCTGCTGTAAATCTCCACGGGAGTGATGGGAAAATGCAGACGGATTTACAGCTTGTTGGCCGGAGCTCATGGAGATCAGTAGAATCTTGCCTGGATCGCCTTAGCTGACTGACAGTACGCAGTGTGACAGAGCAGGCTCCAGCACCACTGTTAACCCTTCAGTGCTAGCCAGACCTTATTTCCACAGCCATCTGGATGAGGAGCCAGCAGTTTAGCTCACACTCTCATAGAAACGGAGGAAAATAGGAATAGGAATAGAAATAGGGTATTCAGCCATTCAAGCCTGCTCCACTGTTCAACACAATCATAGCTGATCAGCCAACTCATTACCCTATTCCCGTTCCACTCTTCCCATTCCCTATCAGCTCCTTCACCATGAGGACTGTTTCAAATCATTCAGATCAACTGCATCCTATAGCAAGAGAATTCCAGAGGGTCACCTCTCTCGGGGCCTTTTTATCAATGGGAAGTTGGGTTTGGGTGAGAGGGAGAGACATACAGACCAATCCAGTCACACAGCTAAACAAACTGAAGGCTTTGTTTTCTCAGAGAGGGGGTGGTGGTTAATCTAAGTGGAAGGTTCATAGAGTCACAAAATAGGCCAACAATAAGCGAAAAACATGTTTGCATTTGTGCATTATTTTCACCCTTCATGCACTTGAACATCACAAAGAGTAATTTTTTTCTGCAGTCACCGTTTGTGGTCGTCAATATGGCACAGCAAGCTCCCACAAACCATAAAAAGGTGATGGTCAGATTTAGTGATGTTGTTTAAAGTCTAGATTTTGGCCAGGGCAATGGGGAGAATTCTCCCCGTCTTCCTCAGATAGTGGTGGACCTCTGATTAAAATGTAACCCATGTTTGAGAGTGGAGGCTATGAGGTGGTAAGCTTATGATGGTCCATGTAGGGTAGTGTGTGCTTTCAGCTCCTCTTTCATTCTGCTGTAACCACTCAACGTCCTCTAGACCCACCGCCTCTTTTGTTGTATAGTTAATCATTTTGTCATTTAGTCCCTGCTGACTCCGTTACATGGCAAATGTTCAGCTTCCCACCTCCGCTCCTTTTCATTGACTGTGAATGTGCTTGAAAACCGGGAAATCTCATTTATGTTGTTATTCTGAGGAAAGGTCACCAATCTGAAACATTAACACTTTCAATTCACTCATGCAACAGTGAGGACATTGCAGCTCACATTGAAAGTCCTGCAGACAGGGGGAAACAATGGGTCCTGAGTGATACTGGGCCACAATGACAGTGTGACTTCCAAGGATATGTTGATAGTGGACATGAGAGACAAGGCGATTGTGTCGCTGCCAGGAGCAGGGAGATAGCGTCAACACCTGGGTGGGGTGGGGGCGGGTCAGTGTGTTGTCACCAGGGACACGGTGATGGTGTCAACACCAGGGGCACGGTGACAGTGTCGATGCCCGGGGGGGGGGGGCACGGGGGCGGTGCCGGTGGGGGGGGGGGCCACGGTGACCGTGCTAATCCCGGGGGGGCACGGTGACGGTGTTGATACCGGGGAGGCACCGTGATGGTGTTGATACCAGGGTGGCACGGTGATAATGTCTGTTTGCTCAAATGGGATCGGTTAGATCAGTTGGCTGGACTGCTAGCTTCTGATGCAGAGTGATCCCAAAATTGTGCGTTCAATTCCCGTACCAGCTGGGGTTACCGTGAAGGACTGTCTTTCTCAACCTCTCTCTCCTTGTCTGAGGTGTGGTGACCTTCAGGTTGAGCTAATAGTTGTCTCTCAGCAATGAAGAGAGCAGCCCTATAAGCTGGTCAAACTGTGACGATAGTGTGGACACTTGGAACATGAATATGTGTCATTGCAAAAATTTTAAAAATCAATATTATAGGATGTAATAGCCGAGTATTTAGGAATGCAGCAAATTTTTTTTCTTTATTCATTTATAGGATGAGGGTGTCGCTGGCTAGGCAGCATTTATTGCCCATCCCTAATTGCCCAGAGGGCAGTTAAGAGTCAATCACACACTGCTGTGGGTCTGTAGTCACATGTAGCCCAGACCAGGTAAGGATGTCAGTTTCCTTCCTGTTTTTAATTTTTATTATCCTGCACCTAGTGGACCAGGAGAGTGCTGGTTGATCAAATATTCTGGATAATCAAGGGGTTACACATAACGACAGTAAACCCTGACCAAGGGAAGTTTCAAGACATCAATATCTCTCAAAAAATCTTTGTAAAAACATCAACACACTTTGTAAAATCAATGTAAAAACAGAGTAAGTAATAAAAATGTAATTCAGAAGGCATACACATTACTGTGATACAGCATAAAAACTCGCACATCACAGTAGTTCACGATATTTGAGGTATATAATTTTTACTGGTGTATCATCAGTGCCACTCGATAAGGTACAAAAACAGAAGTCATCGGACCCATTAACTCTGATTTTCTTTTCACAGATGCTGCCAGACCTGATGAGCTTTTCCAGCAACTTCTGTTTTTGTTCTTTTTTTTGACTAACAACAGGTAGTGTGTAATGGCAGGCTACGTGATAACAAGGCCTGATGTGTGTGGGGTTGGGGGCATTTAACCCAGTTGATAAGGTGCCAATTAAAACAATGCTTACTGTACATAACATGATAAAGCAGAGGCTTCATTAAAGGGTAATTGTACCTTACGAATTTATCATAATGGTTAAGGAACAAAGGGATAAAGGGAAAGCAGTGAATGTAATATAGCTGGATTTCAGAAGGTGTTTGATAAGGTGTTTGCAACAGTAGTAGACTTGCCAACTTTAAGGACATTTAAATGGTCATTGGATAAACATATGGATGATAATGGAATAGTGTAGGTTAGATGGGCTTCAGATTGGTTTCACAGGTCGGTGCAACATCGAGGGCCGAAGGGCCTGTACAGTGCTGTAATGTTCTATGTTCTAAGGTACCACACACTAGGCTACTTAATAAGATAACAGTCTGTGGTGTTGGAGATAATATTTTAGCATGGATAGAGGATTGGCTAACTAATAGAAGACAGAGAGTTGGGATAAGGGGGCACATTTTCAGGATGGCAACCTGTAACTAGTTGAGTGCCACAGGGATTGGTGCTGGGGCTAGAATTATTTCCAATCTATATTAATGACTTGGAGGAAAATGAAAGTACTATCACCAAGTTTGCAGATGACACAAAAATAAGTGGGAAGGCAAGTGAAAGAGTCTACAAAGGGATATAGATAGGTTAAGTGAGCTCAGTAAAAAATTGGCAGATGAAATCTAACCTGGGAAAATGTGAAGTTATGCACTTTGGTTGCAAGAATAGAGCATAGCGGAATTGAATATTGTTTAAATTGAGAAAGACTACAGAAAGCAGGATTTGGTATCCTCAT